CGCGTGTGGCATAAACGCAGGCACGCGTGAGCCTGCCCGCGGCCTCTGCCCGCACGCGGCCTGGGGTGGTTCCGAGCCTTCAGGAGCCAGGCGCGGCCGCGAGTGCCGAGGGCGAGTGCTCACACCCCGCTCCTCTGCCCCAGGGACCTGCTGAGCGGGGACGAAAGTGACAAGAGGCAAAACCCCCTGTCCTCCGATGAGTCCTTCGAGCCTTACCCAGAAAAGAAGTAAGGGGCGGCCGTGCGCGGCGGGTGGGCCACGCCTGGCGCCGTGGCTGTGCGGGGCCCCCTTGGGGCGTCCTGGCAGTAGCTGGGCAGCCTTGTGCCGCAGCAGGTCACTCCCCCGGGGCTGCCCTGAGCGCTCGCAGGCTCCAGGCGGGGGAGGCGCTGCGCCGCCACACCCAGCCCTTCGGCCCTTCGGCCTGGACCTGGCCCCTAGCGGGGCGCTCGCTCGGGGCGGGCCTGTTCTGAGCGGATGCCCCAGGGGTCCTGGGGAAAGGTGGGGCAGCTCTCGGGAGGGCAGGAGCTGGGGCCCCGCAGGGCGCCCTCAGAGCAGGCCCAGGCCCTGGGGAGGCGTGGTGCCTGGACTTCAGGGGCGCACACCGCCTGTCACTGCTGTGTCCGCCTCAGGGCCCAGGTGGGTCCTGCGTGGCTTGGCCACCGCTGCCCCGGCCTCCGTCACCCAGGCAGACGTGGGGTCCCCCCGGACTCTGGTGCATCCAGGGTGGCGGCCCGCAGTGGTTCCTGGGGGCTGGTGTGCGGCCAGGGGGAGCCTGACCGGCGGGCACCCCCTTTCCGGGGGCGGTGTGGGCCCGCCCTGCACTGAGCCCGGCCTGGCTGTGGTGGGGTGGGGTGCAGAGCCCCCTCGGAGCGCAGCGGCCGACATTCGTGTCCATTGGGCCTTTGCTGTGTGCCGATGGGGCTTTGGGGCCCACTGCCCAGCTGACAGTTTGTTTTAAGTTGATTTATTTCTGCGTACAAGAACTGGTGCAGGCCAGAGGTGTGGGGGTGATTCACCAGAGACAGCGGGGAGCAGAACAGGCAGATGGACTGAAACCCACTGCCGGGGGAGCAGCGGGCGGGTCAGGAGGGGTCTGCGCCCGGTGGGTCCCTCCCTGGCCAGGGTTAGAACTCGTGCTGCAGGGGCTGCCGGCAGCTTCACAGTGCTGCGCTTCAACCCCAGCGCCACCAGGGAGGGCCCCGGTTTGTTTCGAGGTGACTTGGTCTGCAGCACTTGAAACGCCCGAGTCTGGCTCTGCAGGAGACGACAGGAGTCTGCGGGCCTGACCTGCGGTGGTGGGCCAGGGCAGGGCGCCCCGCTCCCGCGCTGGGCTCCACGGCCCTCCCGCCCTCTGGGTCAGTGCCGGTGCGGGTGCTGGGGCGCCCCCGGGGCCCCCGCCTGTTGGCGGTTGGTGTGGCAGGGCTGGATGGGCGTCCCGACTCGCTGTGGACAGGCGTGTGCCCCCTTTCCACGTCATTTCTGGCTGGCGCAGGCTCTCTGGAGTAGCGTGGGGA